TGGCCACCTGCCTTAGCCTGAAGTGCGATCCAGGTTCAGCCTAGGACAGGGATCAAGGATCAGCCTAGGTTGGCCACCTGCCTTAGCCTGAAGTGGGATCCAGGCTCAGCCTGGGACAGGGATCAAGGGTCAGCATGAAGTAGGTACCCAGCCTTAGCCTGAGGTGGGATCCAGGCTCAGTCTACACCACAGTCCTCGGGATGAACCACCCAGACCCTTTAAGGAAACAGCTCAGCGCTCTACCTCGAGCCCAGCAGAGCTCTCTGGGACAGGGCGTGTGTGAACAGCGCTCTGCAGAAACCTCTTATCAGAGTTGGCCCACAGCCTGTTCCCAAAATAGCTTCCCCTTGGGTCTTGGGTCTCTGATCTGGGGAGTGGCCAACAGTGCGCATAGCCTCCTGTGGGCCTGCTAAGGAGGGGTCCGGGGTTGGCTTCGGAGGAGGCGGCTGACAGGGGCAGGGTCTGCTCACCTGAGGTAGGAGATGACCCCCATGGCCCTGTGGGAACAAAACCACAGCCGTGAGTCACCCCAGGCCTGGCCCGCATGCGATGGGCGAGCAGTGTGGGCCGGGAACTGAGGGCGGAGGGGAGGTGGGAGACGGTGTGGGGGCCGCGTCCCTGGGGACCCAGACACGCACCAGATGTCGGAGGCCTTGCTCACGGGGGTCTGCTCGATGATCTCGGGGGACACAAACTCAGGGCAGCCATACTTGCTGTACTGCGGCTCTGCCGGGGTGATTTTTTGGGCAAAGCCAAAGTCACAGATTTTAATGTCTTCCCGGGCAGGATGCACCATCAGGATGTTGGGGGGCTGTCGGGCAGAACCGGGGAGTAGATGAGGCCGAGCCCTAAGGAGGTGACTCCCAGGGCTGCTGGTGGGGGTACCCTCCCCCTCAAGGGTCTGTGAGGGGCTGTCCCACAGTGATGGTAAGGCCAGTGCATAGCTGTGGGCAGCCCCGGGGCAAGTTTCAGTGCCATTTGGAGGTGGCCTCTGCTCCAACAAAAGGACACCCCACCTGACGGGGCTGCTGGAATAGTAGTGAGCTCCCCGTCCCCAGAGGTGAGCAAGTCCTAACAGGGAGGCTGGAAGTGGTGGGCCTGTGCCCTCCCAGCCAGCAGGCCCTAGGCCCCCACCTGCCCCTCCCCAGGCTCTGGAGGCAGGGGGGCAAGTACCTTTATGTCGAGGTGGAGGATGCCCTGGCTGTGCAGGTACTGCAGCCCCTCCACCAGCTGCTGGATGTAGACCTTGACCTGCAGCAGAGGCTGGCGCTCAGGCGGAAGGGCCAGCCTTGACCTCCCCTCCACTTCCCTCCTGGCCCTGCTCCCACTACAATGCCTCCCCTTCCCTCCAGATCGAGTCTGGGACCATCCCAAGGGGCAGGTTAGTGCGAAGCCTCCCGACTCCCTGACCCCTGTGTGCCCTAAGGCCAGGGCTTTCCTCTGGGCCCCCAGGTGGGCTGCGTCTGGGTGTGTGGAGCAGCCTGAGCAGAGCAGGAAGTGCGCCATGGCCAGTGGTCTGGGAGGGGCAGCAGGGACAGGAGCTGCCACACCTGGGGGGCCCTGGGGAGCCCCAGAGCTCTCTGAGCTGGGGAGTGCTTGGGGGGTACGGTCTGCAGGGACACACGGTCTGGGCAGGTGGAGCGGGAGGTTGGCGGCTCCAGCGGCAAGGTCACCTCGGCCTCGGTCACCACGCTCTTCTTGAACAGGCGGTCCAGCAGCTCCTCGGCCGAGCACCTAGGGCTCCAGTCAAGGAAAGCACTGGGGTCTGGAACCAGCCTGGCCCCACACGCCCGGTGAGTCTTATCTTGGGGTGGGGGTGGGGAGCCATGCTGGGGATGCTGGTGCTCCGGGTTGGGGAGGGTGGGAGAGACAGGGACGCGGAGCAGAGGGGCTGAGGCCAGGGGGCAGCCGCAGAGCAGGAGTGGAGGCATTCTCTCCCCTCTGCCCATGCCCACCTCCCACACCCTCCCAGGCCTGGGGTGCTAACTGGGGAGGTGGAGGTGTGGCAAGCACACCTGACACCCAGAGACCCTCAGCTAGGCAATGACCCAGAGGGGACAGGGCAGGGGGTGTGCCCCTCCCTGGAGCTTGGGTGGGCAGCCCGAGGAGCCCCAGCACTTGAGAAGTCCAACCTCCCTGCTGGAGAGGCCGGGGAGAGCGCAGTACGGGCTCGCTGAGGCATGTCTTGAACCCTCTGCCCAAATCCTTGGCCCAAGGGACGGCGAACTATGAGGACGAGGACGGCGCCGGGTCTGGGGTAGTCAGGCAGCATCATAACCAGGACGCAGGAGGCACGGCTGGCTGCCCCACAACGCGCCAGGCCCGAGGACACCAGAACTGCAGGCCCCACGCGGCCCTCTGGACCCCTGCGCGCCCGGGCGCGCGCCCTCCTCGCACCCTCCTCGCACCCTCGTGCCCAGGGCGGGATACAGCTCCAGGATGAGGATCAGGGTCTTGCGGGTCTCAAACTGGTCCAGCAGCGCGGTGACCAGCGGGTGGCTCAGCGTGGCCAGAACGTCCCGCTCGCGGAAGGCCTGGGCGCGCGTCCTGCCCCGCAGGGGGATGAACTTGGCGGCGCAGGACATCTGGTTGCCCTTGTGCTGCACCCTCTTCACAAAGCCGAACACGCCCCTGGGAGGAGGGGAGCCCACGCTGGACGGCGCCGGGGGTGGGGCTCCGAGGGGCGGGGCTCCTGGGCGTAGGAAGGTACTCCGGAGAAAGGGGGCTGCTGGGGGCGGGGGCTCTGGAGGGACCCGTGCTCCGGCATACCGGTACCCGGGTACCGGGTCGGGGCGGCGGGGTTGCTGGCAGGCGGGGGC